TTTTAAGTGATCAGTTGGTCTTTTTAAGTCCTTTTTACGGCTTTTTAAGTCTTTTTTTAAGACTTTTGACGGTAAAATCGTTCTTCAGAAAAAATTATTTGAGCCGTGGCTCTTTTTTTTCGCAAGAAGCGGTGACCTCAACACTAAGATGGATTCCTTGATATAATTGGCTAGAAAATGACATGTCTCTCTTGTGATTGGTTCATATCAGTTGATGTGCAAAATCGTGCAATTTAGAGCTCAAAATCGTGCAATTTATGCTGAAATCACTGCTGCAGGGAACCAATCAGATTGCAGGATTTGCTTGTGATTTCAAAATGGATGTAATAAATGGTCAATAAACTAGAAAGAAAAATCAGAATTTACAAAATTAATAAGTCAAAGGGCAATGATAAAAATTATTTTATTTCAATATAATTTAGTTCGAATCGGTAAACAATAAGATTCCCGGCCAGGATGATTTGCCAAAAAAGAAAATACAAAAAATCATAACTTCTGAGAGAATATTGAATTTAAGAGTCTAGAAACTTTTTCTAATAAAATAACATAAATAAGGTAATGAAATTGGAAGTCAAAGGGCAGAGGAAAAGAGAATTTCATCCAACCATTATTTTGTTTCGATTGGTTTTTATTTGGTTCCAAGCCATGGTTTGGCCAGGGAAGAAAAGAAAAAAAAATACTATTTTTTTCTTTTAAAGATATTGAATTTGTGGGTCTATAATCTTCTCTACATTTAAAAAATATCAAGAATTTATCGAATTTGGAAGTCAAAGGGTGATGGTATAAAATTTTTTATTCAGTCTTATATTGCTTCCATCGGTAAACAATGTACTTTCCCGGCCATGTTACTAAGGTTTGGCCAGGAATAAACAGAAAAAGAAAAAACTACTATATTATTTCAAACAGAATATTGAATTTATGGGTCTATAATCTTCTCTACAATTGAAAAATATCAAGAAGATATCAAATTTGGAAGTCAAATGTTTCAAATGTTGATGGTAAAAAAATGTTATTCAGATATAATTTTGTTTGGATGGGTAAACAATGGCAAAGTTTGACCAGAAAATAAAGACAAAAATTCCAACTTTAATATCTGAAAAAAATATTTAGCTTATGGGTCAATAATGTCTAAAAGATAAAAAATAGCAAGAATTTATTTAATTAAGAAGTAAAAGAGCGATAATGAAAATGATTTCATTCAACCGAAATTTCGGTTCGCTCGGTAAACAATGTGCTTCTGATTCCACAGAGATTATTTGGTCAGGAAAGAATATAGAAAAAAATTAATCAAAAATACTCTTACCTCTAATAAAGTTGTTCCATTTTGGCTTTAGGATGAGTTATAGTTGCTTCTTCAAGTCTCCAAAGTTCAATATCTTTAAGAAAGGTTGATTTTTCGACTCCAGATTCGAGAGAAAGGGTTCGTCTCTTTGTTCTTCGTTCGCTATTCCGAGCTTAATATAAGATGTTAGCCAAAAATGTAAAACGTTTGGCTCTGTATTAAAGATTTGTCGATAACAAGGCTTTCTTGGTTGAATTTTGTAATAAATGAGTTATTTTTCATTTGAAAAAGTAGCAACTTTTCCAGCTAAACTCCGACATCTTGGACTGTGGATCTTCGAGATTCTAGAGAAAGGTTCGTCTCTAATTGTTCTTCGTTCGCTATTAGAAGCTCAAAATTTAGCCAAAAATAATAAACACTTGGCTCTGTATTAAAGATTTGTCGATAATAAGGCTTTCTTGGTTGAATTTTGTGGTAAATGAGTTAGTTTTCATTTGAAAAAGTGTTAACTTTTTCTGCTAAACTAATTCCTCCTCGACCGTCGACCTTCGAATGATAATGTSCCCGCTTGAGTCAAAAATTATATCAAGCATTTGCCGCGCTTATTGTGACGTAACCGAACCGTACCAAAACAAAACCTAGCGGGGGAAGGTATAAACACAAATTAAAAAAATTAGATTAATTAATAAAAATAACTAACAATTTCTTTTCCAAAGTCGTTTTATAGAACATTTATAATTACTTTGCCAAGAGAAAGTATCAGATGTTTTGCATTATGGGCTTCTTCTTTTTTTTTTAGGTTGCAGTGTGACCGAGGCTACACTCGCTCACTTTGATTAAACATTAATTATTTCCCTTACAATCAACTAATCAATCAAGCTTAGTAATTTAATACAGTTAGTCTACTCGTGTTTGAGCTTCGTGCTTGTTGAGCTTCGTTGCTGCTCTAAGCCCACTGGACAAGGTATGAACGCTAAATATTCATATTCATATAATCTACATATAGGCATTATATATTCAAATGTAATAGTATATTATTCGTGATTTAACAAGTTGTTATTGTAATTGTACAAATCGTACAAATGATTCTTTATTACGTAACTAGCATATGGTATATGTTTGAACTCGATACGATTTTCAGGTAATTTAGCTCTTTCTTTCTTTACTAGTTTTACGGATACTTGTTAAGTAAATTCCTGTAAAACGTCCAGAGTCATGATTAAAGAACACAAAACCAGATTGCTTAGTTGAGCCACATGCAGTATTTTTTTACTCTAAATATTCAACACCACCCCACTCGTATCGCAACCTCAAGCGTTGCTATGACGACTAACTTAGTTACGGAAAGCTAAGCACACGTGCAGTTTGAAGAAGCCGACACGTGGCGTCCTTTTGTAATCGTTTAATTAACAATTGTTTGAACAGCTAACAATATGTTTATTTTTATATAATTACATTCAAGTGTATCAGAACTCACTGAAATCTTTGACTTTGGTTTTTCAGTGAATTCATTATGAATCTAGCATTTATAAACTGGAGTGTTTGATAAGCGATTCTTAAAAATTTGAAATTTTCCAGGCATAAAATAGCCTGCGTTCCCGTCCGGCCTTTTCTTTCGAAGTCTGCAAAAGAAAAGGCCGAATGGAACACAGGCAAGGCAGAAAGTGTAGCTCGATGTATGAATATCAATCATGCGGTATTCTATTGTCATTTTAATTCTATTCGTTTGCCAGTAAAATTATTCATGAAACTATTTCATGAAACTTATAGGCAAAAGCTAGTCAGAGCTTATTTGAAATAAAATATAATATATAATAAGTAATAATAATGAAAAAGCTATCTGATTATAGAACAGAGGAGCCAAAAGTAGATAGGAAGTCTTTCTCCAGGTATCTCGAAGGTAAAGTTTGACACTATTCTTCACTATTCTTCGTTTGTACGTTACGCCATCGCGGCCATGTTTGGTACCATTTAACAAAAGATTTCTCATTAGCATCCATTGTTAACAGTACCACAATGGCCGCCATGTTTTTGTCTTTTAACTCTCTTGGGAATGCTTGCAACCCGTCAATTCTTGCAACCCATCAAGCCATCTGGAAACTTACCTGACTAACGGATTTGAAAAGTATATATTTAAAAGATATGGTAGATGGTTTCGCACGTGGAGTAGTTCAAACATTTCTCTGTGTTGAACTAATTACATGAGCTCTATTCATAATAATTCTATGACAGGTGTCAATCTCTAATCAATGTGATAATAGCGTTGAATCATGATTGGCTAAAAGCCAAATAAGTAAATTCCTTAGTGCGTTATTCTAATGACGAGTAATACGAGTGAAAATCTTGTTGGAATTAAACATAGATAAAACTAATAATAATATATGAATATATTGTAAATGTATAGAAAAGACTACAAGGAACATTTCTATCATAAGATTCTAGAGAATAATCCTAAAATAACTGAGCAAAGTGATAAAAGCTGTGTAGGGCGTAACAAGAGGTACAATTGCTAATGAGAAGAGCTACTTGTTTACTTGTGAATACAATGCATACCATTATCTAAACTTGTGCGTGATGGTAGCCTTGCTGAAATATTATATCGATATTTTTATATAGCTAATTGATCATTCTTTTTCTTGTTTTCATAAGTAATGGTAGTTAGAAAACGGATGTCTTGCTTAATTTGTTGTCAGTAAAAATGTTCATTTTCTCTCTCATAACATTGGTCATATTTTCTTTCATAACAGAACTTAAAAACTAAATTATGAGGTAAAACTTATGGTATGAATTTGGTCATTTCGAAGAATGGGTAGTTTTCCTAATGGAATACAGAATGTCCGACCAACAAACACAAATAATTCCTTAGATTTTTTTAGTAGCTATCGATTTTTTTCTTAAAGTACCTTTTGGATGCATTGATTATAAGACAGGCATATGAAATTTTTAGCAATCGGTGTTTTTTCCATGCCGTAAATCAAAAAAACATAGCTTAACCGACATAGCAACAGTAACTAGGTAGATAGAATATTGCAATGAATTCAGGATAGACGAACTACGCGCCGATGAAGTGTGCTATAGTTGAAGTTTACGAAACGAAAGCCGTGTTTTCATTGAATTTCTGGCTCGCTTTTATCTTGAAAATCATTTGTCCCCCAAGCCGGGGTGAACCGGTCAAACAACTGTAGAAAAACGCACACTCTTCCTACCTGTGTCTGTAAAATACTTGTGCATTCAGAACATCGAAGGATTTGATATGCTTAAAATTTACTTTGAAATTCTTCAAGATTCTACTTTCCTGTTTCAGTAACGTACTGTTTGACTTTATATACAGTCAATGTCATTAACGTTGTCCACCGAAAAAAGACATTTACACATTTACACATTTAGTCATTAAGACATTCAGACTAAAAGAAATATCACGTTTATATTATGTTTTCTTTGCCTCGTGTGCGTCAGCCTGAACTTTAAATGTAAAATTCAACTCGTGAATCGAAATTCCAGAATGCCCTGGCCATTTAGTAAGGATTTAAGATGGAGAATGGTATTTCAGCGTTTGTTTTACGCCAAACGTTCAAGGAAACATGTGATATTTCTTTTAGTCTAAATGTGTAAATGTGTAAATGTCTGAATGTCTTTTTTTTTCGGTGGACAACGTTAATGACATTGACTGTATATTTGGGTATAGGACCAGGCTATCAGTTTCAGCACACGTCACCAGTCTTTTCCTCTAGTTACCTGTGGTACATACTCGTAACCATCAAAGGCGAGCGAATAAATCCTAATCAAGAAAACAAGTAAAGCCGCGTGGCACTGAGCAATTTCTGCAACTCTAATCGCGAATCGTTTTCTCGAAGAAAGCTTTTTACGGAACCTCGTTAAAACTGGACAGAAGAGGAAGATGATTCCCTTAGATGCAAATGATGATGATGATRATGATGATGATCAAGTATATGATATTTCATATAAAATAACGAATGAGCAAATACATGAATATATTAGAGCAAGGCCTTTGAAGGACTTTGTTTTGAAACAACAACTAAAATGGTTTGCACATATACAATACGCTCCTCAAACCGCAGATATATCAAGAAGCTAACTTTTATAGATACAAGCAACAAAAGAAAAGGCCGTCCAATAAAAACATTAATAAGAACAATCTACCAACGATTTCAGGAATATCAACCATCACAGATTCTGAAAGAATGCTTTAGACGCAACCATAATAGCTTGGCTTCAAAGTAGTTGAACTTACTCGCGTAGAGTGAGAACTGAATGTTTCTCTAAGAGAAATGAGCAATACATTGATCGTGGTCACGAAGGAAGGGGAGCGTTGCGCGAAGACAGTACGAACGGCTGCGAGAGAGACTAAGGAAGTGTCAGCAAAAGGCAATATTCTAAATGCACTTTATTGAATAACGTATAAAACAATTACATGATTAAAAATAAATGAGCTTTGGTAGCCATTGGCTTTCAGCATTCTTACACTTTTCATTCCAAAAAATATCAACCAAAAAAAAGAAAACTATGTTACTAAAATTTTGAAAGTAAAAAAAATTGCTCAAGGGTAAAGGGAGGACTATTAGATAATTGAGTGTCGTGCAACGTAAATTCCTGTAACCAACACCCCCCCCCCCCCTAACTCGATTATCTAGTGGGCCATCCCTAAGCTAGAACTTAGTGGGGTTGTTAGTGAATTAAAGCGAAGATAATGTGTTCAAAACACCGTTAAGGACCTAATGATATTCAAGCAAACCAAGCGTACACATCAACACAGACACGACCAAAATTGTCTCCTTCCGACCAATTCTTCAGATCCTCACCAAACCATAGTTTCAACTTCATTGACGAGGTAAGATGGAATGGGGAAGCCACGTTGGAAAAGAACAAAGATTTGGAGAACTTGGAGTGTTTTCCAGGAAGCCGGTACCACAGACCTGGACGCAGTTTGATAAAAAGTATCGAAAATGAGTTTATAACAACCGTAACCAGAGGGGAGAACAGGTTGCACGTGCACCCCCCATAAAAGCTTAAGGTCCGCTCATCTATCTCCTTTTGCTTTAAAATTGCATGTAAATATTTTTTGATTAAATGAAGACTACTTTCCATCTGCATATTGTAGCATTGTTAATAATCACTCACCCATTATTTATT